CAAAGCCGTTGTTTTAAGGGTCGTCGTGTTCAGCATGTGGCATAGGAACGGTTGCCAACTAACGGGATGACTGGGACCGCGCAGTCAGTCAAGTGTGTGCTGATTTGTGTAAAATGACTAACTGGTGGACTGAGAGTCAGACTGCAAATGTTCCTTTTTAATGTGGCCTTTATGGCACCCCCACACAGCTGGCACCCGTGCCGCCTCCCTACTTTGTTGTGGTTTTCTCGTTGCGTTAACCCACAAGTATGTATTTCCTCTTTTCCCTATTTCCGATAATGCGTTCAAGGACGAGTGTGAAACTTCAGACGATATTTAAAATATCCTCCCCAGAGACCGCTTTACCTTCTCATTCCATCTCAACATCTGGGGTCAGAATTTTCGCTTGCATTCATTATAGAGATGGAAGGAAAAGATGAGGTGATCTTTGGGAGAGAGTGTTTATTCATTCGGTGTTTCACGCTCATACTCGAGCGCACCATCAGAGATAGACTACTGGGTCAAAACGTGAGTTTAAAAAGTCCTATAGTCTCACCGGAGCCTCTTTTGTGCGCAAATGCAGGCTTGCGGCCTCGTATGGCACCAAAAAGTCAATACTGCGGTTCATTTAGTTGGCATGTGATTGCTAGGCCTCGAGCACTTGTCTCGCCAATTTGCTTGGGCATGATCAAAGTCTAACGGGTGGTAATTTTCTAGGCTGTGCATAGCGACGTGTAAAAGTGCAACATTTCGCTTTATAAATGTCTTATTAAACCTGGAGGTGGACCAGTATCCAGTTTCTGGGGTGGATCGACTAAGTTAGCGCGTGGCGAAAATGGATAATTCCCCCTACTTTTACCATGAGTCCTACATTTTGCTCTTCACTCTATCCACGAGAATGACTTCTCACTCATAATTTTTTTAATGACCTGAACTACCAAAATCAGACCTTCCGTCTGCAAACGTTTAAACATTTTCCCATAGTTGTTTATTCTACCACACGACCTCATTGGTTACCGGAACGTAGCAGAATTATGTGCAGCATAAGATTTGCTTTCAACGGCTGAATAGTGAGTCTATTCTTGCGTGGGCCAGTTCAC